AAAACATGGCACACAATACATCGCTGCTCACAAAGGAAAAAGGTGATAAACATCCCGGCTGTTGATATAAGAGTCAATAAGATTTATAACATAACAAAACTAAATCGCGCGCTCTGATTGGTCAGTCAGCCACTACCATTTTCCCGTGGGTGCACGCTAAGAAACTGAGCTAGCGCGGTAAAATTTAGGCAAATTCAACAAATCTCCTCTCCTGACGGTAAAATACACAGATGAAAAGCACAGATAAAAAGTGGAAGTTGAAGAAAATACTAAGCTGTCGTTTTGAAGGAAAAAGACAAAAGATCAAGCGACAAATTTGTCCTGGATGAATGAATCACTGTTTTCCTCGCGGCTAGAATCTGCTGAAGGAAAATCGAGCGAGCGAAGATTTAAGGTACATTTTGTGTGTTTTTTATAGAAGAGAAAGTCTGTTTGGAAAGGAAAATTATCAATTAGCATTGTGTTATTGACTTTTTGGTCAAGCTGATGCTAAATTCAAGCAAATATTTTAGGAAACACGCTCAAATTCGAGACAGCTTTGTTGTGAAGTTTTCATCGCATCGATTAAAAATTTTAGTTGAGTTCAAAAGGGCACATAACGCTGGAATAAGCGAATTTCATTTGAGTACAGAAACATTTGGGTTTTCAAATAAATTTTTCAAAAAATAACTTCTGTGTGTATTATTTTGTTCCTCAGTGTTCATTCATAACAGTCGTTCGGAGAACGGTCGAAAAACAACAGCTTCAGCGCCGGCTGTGTGTCGGCGAATTTCAGTTTCAACTTTCATTTCTACTTTGCGTTTATTTCAAAAATTGTCACATAAATAACCTTGATAATTATTTCATTTAATTAGTTTTAGCTTATTTTTTAGAGTCTTTTTAGTTGGTGTTTATAGTTGCAGCTATAGTTTTCCCTCAAAGTTTTTACCCTCATATTAAGAGCAAGTAGACAGATGCCATTCAGAATAACAACGAAAAACGTTTTGCAATTTACCTGAGGACGGAGAACGGTTGATTCAGCGAAAGAAAAACTCAAAGGCAAGTTTTTGAAAAACATAGAACATGATTTGTTTACGCGCGGGCAGATGTCACCATACAGGAACTCGGACCGATGACTCAACCGAAAGGCAAATGGAAAATAATGTTTTTCTCTTTTGATTATGTTATAAAAGAAATGGTAAACGTTGCAGCTGTGCAACCATGGAGTTATGGATGCACTTGGGAGGTTTGCTAAGCACTCAAGAAGCTAGAGTCGCACTCGGCTATCGCCTCGTGCGACTCTTACGCTTCTTTCGTGCTTAGCAACCTCCCGCGTGCATCCATAACTCCATGGTTGCACGCTGCACGTTTACCATTTCTTAAGTTTATTACTCTCGCGCCTAACGGAAAATAAACACTAATCAGCAAATGTGTGTTTGCCAGCGCTTTTGTTATATGCCTAACGTTTAACAGGGTCACGTGCCAGTAAAAAGGGCCGCGCGAAGAACTATGTTAGTCACATTGCTAACGGATATGTAGCAGTGAACTTTGGTTGGGAAATGAAATCTCTACTTGTTCTCCTGTTTCTCGGAGCGGCAGTCGCCACCCTGGCTGAGGAGCCTTTTGAGGATGAGGCAGTCGCGGAGTTGTTAGATGAAGAGGATAATGAAACCATTGCCGAGCTTGCTGATGAGAAGAATGACCCCCGTCGTCGTCCCCGTCCAAGTGGCCCTCCGAGGGCAGTAAGATCTTCAACCTTGTCACCAATCCTAAACAAACTACTGGGATTTGCACAATCAGCTTAAAGTAGCAAACTTAATTTGTTTAAGACTCCCTTTCACGTCCTTATAAAATAGGTGCTGAGGGGAACTTCGGAAGAATCGCGCTCCCTCAACCCGGAAATTGCGTATTTTATCTGGTTAACATGTTAGATCGATAACTCTGTCAAAAAAATAGCCATACCCTTTTTTCTGGTGATTGGCATCACGGTGATAAAGAATGGTATCATTAATAAAATCTTAGCAAACGGTGTTTTAATATAAACGGTAACGTATCATTGAGCCATTATTATAAAACTCACATAGTTTAATTCTTTTCTCTTAAAAAGTGCAAACTGTATTTTAAGAAATGCTTAAAGAAGCCAACTGGTCCTCGTCCCACACGTCCCATCAAGGTAAGATCTTCCTTGTCGTTATTTTGAACCCTCAGACTTTGATGTCGAGACGTAGTTTTACAGCAAAAGTGTGTAGTCAACTTACATTGTTTTTATACGACTTGATGCAATACATGCACCAGCTGAGCTAGCTATTTAATTATTTTTTTCAGCCGGGGTAGGTTGTTATACGTTTGAAAGAGTGATTGCCCTTTTGTCAATAAAGTAATCATACCTCAGTTTTTTCATATTCACTGATAAATTAGCGTCAAATGATAAAGACGGCCAGCATCAATCAATGAAAATCCTGACATGTGATTAAAAAAAATCAACAAAGTTTTAGAAGTATCCTACCACAGAGGTATTAAAAAATTCACCCAATTCATCTTCTCTCCCACTTAGAAAAAGATTTGCCAAAAACTGCGGCAAATATGAAAGAAGCTCCGACCCAGTGGACGTCCTAAGCCTTAACTGATTGAAAGTTAAGTTATTGACAGCCTAACGGTACTGAAAAGATGACGTGTCCCATGAACAGAAAACTTTGATGTAACGAAATTAAATGTAGTTGTGAAATTAGGGTGGTACTGTTGATAAATAAAGCATTGAAAAGGTGTCTTGTGGTTTTACTCATGTGCGTACAGTAGTTGAGAATTTATCTAATAAATGATAATTATAAAAGTAAATTGTAATTATCATTAAAAAAATTATCCCAGAATCCTTTGAGGCAATTTTTCTTAAAAGCTTTACAACTTTGACAATTCTATACGTAGAAGAATGTCAGTCCACAAGAAGAAAACATTTGCCATGAAATATCTTCCCACATCACATCAGTCACGTGACTATTCAGAATTAGGTTTGTTTGCTGCTGTGACAAGATTTTGTTAACGAGTTAAAAACAAATAGCAGAATTGAGGTTTTAGTTAAGGGGTGGGGGGGGGGGGATTTAAAAATAACCAGTTGACGTCGGGCATTTAAAATATAAGGGGGTAATAAACATGAGCGAAAAAGTCGGGAGACTAGGCCGAGGGATGTAGAGAGTCAACCGTTTATCACACGACAGAGAAAATTTGCGGGAAGGTAATGTTCTAACTGATAATTTTTTCTTGCCCAAAATAGGGACATGAAGTTATCAGTCACGTGATCAAAGCGTTTTGAATGTTTTAGTTCGTTTTTCAAGTGCCTTTTTGTCATAAATTGGCAAGTTATTTTTTCCTCAACAATTCTTTACACTGTATTATCTCTGAGTAATTATTATTCAAATTCAAAGCAGAACCAAACGAAAACTGAGCCAGAAGCTTAAAAGTTGCGTAAATTGACCGATATTGCAAGTTTAAATCGAAAAGGAGACCTACTCTTGAGACTTTTGTAAAATCCTTTTTCAACGTAACTGTTTGTTTGCCGAAATAAATGTTCAACGTTTGTTATTAACGGGAGAACTTTAAAAACTAAAAGTATGTATTGGGCGGCCATATTGTTTTTCTTCATTCCCAGGGAGAGAAGTCTCGTAACAATATTAATGGGTTTATTGTGAGCTTTACGTCTAGCTTCGATCAGTGGGCCTTCTGTGTTAAAGTTGTCAAACTATGTTATGATTGAAACAAATCCACGTTTCCTTCAAAAGTAGACAAAAAAATTGCTTCGGCGGTTCTTTGTCAACAACAAAATGTTACCCCGTATAAAGCTTGGCCCAGCTCGGTTAATTTCTCCAACCAGGAATGTAGCGTGCGTGTACGCACATACGCCTATGCAATCAGCTAGTAAAATCTGGAAAAAATATATAGATTTTTTTTTTATCTCCTGAAAGCATTTTTATCATTAAATTTTGATAAATATTTCGCATTATATTGGTGTTTTTGTGTTAGGATTTCCTTTATCCTTTTACTGATTAATTGCAGTGAAATGGATCCGAATGCTGAAGCATTTTTTTTTTTGGTTGAGACTTTTGACCAAGCCAACCACAATTCTCTCCCAGAGTATAATGTAGCTCTCATAACTTTGTTGACTTATCCTGTGTCAGCATGCACAGCTGAGCGTAGCTTCAGCTGTATGAAGAGACTGCAAACTCCTTTACGAAGGATCATGAAAGATGAGAGATTGAGCTCTCTTGCAATTCTGCACGTACACAAGCACAAGGACGTAATTGATATTGATGGCATTATGACAGAGTTTGCATTGTCTGGAGGGTACACATATCGCCCTTTCCTTGTAACCTCCCTGATAGCGTCACCGTTTTACCCTTTTTTGCCGTAAACACTGTACCTTACCGATAACACTAGAGATAGATGGGTAAAATAAACAACTAATTACTGCATTTTCCTTCATCTTTACTCACTGAAAATGTGAAACTGGCATTTCCGAGACCCCAAATTTAAAACTTTTCTGGGGAGCATGCCTCTAGACTTATCCAGGTTTGCGGCGCCTTTGGCGCCCTAACTTTTTTCCCGTGCACTTTCAAAATCTCACGCTACGCTGCCAGCTACCGGTATTTTATAGCTTATGAAATCAATGCCCAAGGTTGGAAGAAGAGTCTTGGTCTAGAAGTCGTTGAGAGGGCTGTTATTGCCAGGGGGTACAATTTTCATACGTAATTATTTTGGGGGGGAAGTTTTGATACACCACACTTTTCTCCCGCCCCCCTCTGGGATGTAATAAACGATCGGTCCCTAACCAAATATATGAAACGAGAATACAATACGATATTGGACGATACAGACTCTGCGAATCGTCATAACTTTGTCCCAGGCGGTGTTGGACACGGTCCGAAGGGCATCATGGGGAAAAAATCAAAAACGGCTCATTTGCATCTGACCTTCGCTTTGTTCACATCTCTCGTTACGCCATAAAAATACCGGGAGAAATAGTTTGATATGGGCATTACAGGTCTTCTTCCGCTTTTAAAGGACATAACATGCGATGTTCATTTGAGATCTTTCTCTGGAAAGGTGGCCGCAATCGACGTTTACTGCTGGCTTCACAAAACTGTTATTTTCTCTGTCGAAGAGATAATTTTGGGATCGAAGCAACGCGGTACGTCAGGGGCACCCAACGGCAATTTTCGGGAAAATATCTGTTCGGAAGACAATTTCAGAACTAGAATTTTCGGAACACTTGTTGTAAAATTTCTTGCTTGCCTACCTCTCCTAGGATTTTCGAACATCTACAAAATGGTATAATTACCCATTTTAAACGGATATTTACCCTAAAAAAGGCCACCTAGAATTTTCGGGAGCCTTTTCCTGGCTGAAATTTTCGAAAAGGTAAGTTTTGATCCCTATAATTTTCGGATCACTAGACTTTCAGCTAGGAAATCCGAACAGATGAAAAGTTTTTAGGGGATAAAAATATGCCTATATCTACCGTTTAAATACTAAAATACGTTCAACAATGCTATGTTAAGTGGTTTTGAACTATATCCTCGTTGGGTGCCCCTGGTACGTATCAACACATCGTTCTTACATGTGCCTAAAGTGCTTTATATTGAACGTAAGCTTCTCTTTAGCGCTCTTCTCACCTCCGATTTTTTTTTCCAGGTACATTGACATGTGCATGAAGGATACTGATCTTCCCATCGAAAATAATCTGCAACCTATTCTGGTTTTCCAGAAGAAGCTGGAGGCCAAGGCAAATGTGGAATCCTCCTCCTCTAACTTGTTGTTGTTGAGGACAACAGCAAGTTAGCGGAGGTTTTCTAGTCATTTTTTTCCGTATGAATTCAGTTTTATCTGTTCGTTATGCTTTGTATGATTTATCAATTAGGAATCATGAAGAATCTCGCACAGAAGGTTTAACTCTTTGCGGACAAGGGCAGAAGGAAGAAGCCAAGGAACTATTCAAAACGGAGGGCCTAAGGGCCGATACGATGACATATATATTACAAAAAAAATCATATTTTTATAGACGAATAAAAAGGAAATGAAAGAAAGTATTCTGAGCTGATCGTGTAGTGAAAGTATTCTAAGCTGGTTCGATCGTGACCGCGCGAGTATATTTATAATACTAAAGATGCCGCGGAATGGAGTCACGATTCACGCACGTAGGTATACTTCAAGTGGCATTTTGACCCGTAAAACGGCGGGGCCCGCTGGGGCCCGCCGACCATTTCAGATTCTTAAACAACAAAACTAATAGATTATGCTAAAAATGGAGGTCAGGGGTCGTTGAACACAGAGAAGATGTAGACTGAAAAGCGTAAACAATAGCTCTTAACTAAACAAAGGGATTATGCGCATGAAGAATTACAACGAACAATATCAATAGAAAACAAACATACATCATATTGTTTTAAGAACTGCGGCTTGCTACATCTGTCTACTCAAACTTTTCCAAAGAAAATCATCGTAAATCACTTGATAAACGGCGAAAATCGAAGAGACTACCAGCGCAAAGGTGAAAGAATCAGTCCGCCATCTGCAATGATGTGATTGGACAAAATTGGTCACGTGGACCGTGTCCAACACCGCCTGACTTTGTCCTATCTCAGAGCTTTACAGGATGCTCTCCGGGAAACTTTTCTCAAGGTGACCAATAACGAAATGTTAACTGCTAAACGGCACCAAATAACTATCACTTAAGTTGAAGAGAGAATTGCGGGTAGGATCGAAAAAAAAGGAGTGAGGGAGGGGGGGGGGGGTTGATAGAAATTCGCGAAATTCTGTCTGCGTTAACGTAGATGGAGCTCTTGACCGGGAGGAAAACGAGCGTTGAATGTACATTGGAAAAGGATCTCTGGTGAGTTCATTGCTGGTGGCCTCCATAAGGAACAATACACGTGCTTGAGGAACTGTTTCTTAAGCCAACACTCGTTGGCAGAGAGGATCCTCGGCTGGATCTGTCATAAATTGCATATTTTACGGTTCTATCGACTGTTCTCTGGCTTGGAGTTGTTACCTTACGGGGCGGAAAAGGGCTTGGTTCAAATATCTTTTCTCGCCCTCTAACAATGATAGCGAAAGTTGCTTCTCGATTCGTGACCTCACAGGCTGCCTGAACAAGGCTAATTGTTTACTCCATAGCCTTACGCCAACAGCCAGGAAGTGAACACTTCACGCTTCTTGGTTTCCTCGTAGGGATGGCAATCTCAATGGCCCTGGTGGGTCTACATCTCCGGGCTGGAAAAGAAGCGGCACAGCCTTGCCCTTCTTCTCGTTCGAAGAAGTGGTTAACCCGGCAGGTCCGGCTGGCAAAGGCTACAGTCGTTTTGATACTTTGTAGGGTTTCTTTCAGACTCTCTTGGCTGAATGTTTTATAAGCGAGTCACAGGCGCTCATTCGATATTCAACTCATAGCATATTTTACTGGGCTATCCAGAAAGCACTTATCACAAAAACAGAAATTAAACCAAAAAAAGCTATGATTGTTGTATACGTAATAGAATGCTTGAGCAACGTGTAATTAGTGTACCTGAAGCATGGTGAAACGATTTGAACTTCTGTGTATTTTAAAAAGTAGACACCGCGAAGCGCCGAGCTTTTTTACCGACTACATGTTGGTTGGGTGACTTCTCGCCACTCAAAAGGTTCTCAAACAATTAATGGGAATAAAGAAAGAAAGAAATAAATTAAAATATTTAAAATATATTCCTCGTGAAAAGCTCAGCAGAAATCTTCCCGCCTTTTTTGGGAAGCTGTTTGATGCCTCCTCCACTTTTTTGCGTAGAATTCCTCATAGAAATCGTAGCGACATTAACTAGAACAGAAGTAGAATGATGACACGCAGGCAAGCTTTTCTCTTCGAATATGAGGATGTTTGCAAACGTTTCTGAAACTCTGAATAATTAATGGCGACATGACGATCCTTTGTCACAGACTAGGGAGCTTAAGGTGGCTCGACTGGATTTTTTTAGGGGGATACCTCCCAAGTTTGAGCATTAACTACGTCGGCATGAGTAAAGATATTGAAAAAAAGTTACCACAACTATATTATATAAAGATGAAAATTTCTTATGACCTCGGTTTTATTGCAATCGGAGTCGCCATGGCAACGTAATGGCGCCATTACGTTTTTCATTTATCTTTGTGTTTCTCTGTACCAGGAGTTTTTTGAAGAAATCGCTTAAGGGAGTATGTACCTGCCATAATTGCCTCCATTATGGCAAAGTTTAAAGAAATTCTATGAGAGCGTTTTCGAAATATTTTAAAATGCAATTTTAAGAATCATAAAAACAGTGAAATAGCATGCTAGCCGCACAATTCGCTAATATTTTAAGAAAATGATAAGCTCTGGGAACGCGGCTTCTTCTCATAGTGGTTTGATTCCATTGAAAACTGCATGCAAAAAAAGAGGGGAATTGCTCTGGGCGATCGCGAGTAAGAAGAATTTTATTAACTTGCATTCAGCTGCTTTTGATACAGTGTTTGGACGTAATTTGGTCCATGCCTAAAAATTTCGCATTTTTCCAAAAACCGCTCGATAATTTTTTTTATAAATTCGACAATTCCGAGATCAATCGTCAAGAAATATTCCCTGCAAGTGTTAAGAACATTGAAAACAGGGAAGGCTTTTAAAAAGGCGTTTTGAAAACCATCTATATGGTAATGTTACATATATAACTATTTTTTTTTTTTTCTGCTTAAGATTTCTGTGAGGAGGACAGCTGCTTTTTTCCCTTGGTATTGGCAAGCTGAAATCTCATCAGAAAAAGACCACCGAATAAAAATAAAAATCCTCGATTTAACGAACCTCTATACAACAAATTAAAGCCCTCGGTACAACGAAATATTTTCTTTGGTCCAGTTACGAAAAAAAAAATGTAAAAGAAACTTGATATAGCGAAACGTCGTTTTGGTGAACATGCCCGGCCAGTGCCTTTGGACCGTCAGTACTTTTTTTTTCGAGGTTCATGCTCTGTTGCTTCCCAAGTCCGTTTCAGTTCCTTATATTTTTATTCGTATCTCTTCTATTGTTTTCCTAGTTTCTGAAAGTTATTCCTGAACAATATAATCAAATTCAGATGAAGCGTGTATACACATGTGCAGCTGCTTTTCACAACCACTCGCACTGACAGTAGGAAAACCTTATGAATATTTGAGTAGCTTCATTGCTACTGAGTTTTCAGTTCCTCATAGTCAGTACTTTTTTGTTTCAATTGCTTACGGAAGGACTTTTTCCCGTTCACGTAAACTTTACCGAAGTCGGTGCCTTTCACTGAAACACTGATGATAAAAAGTTAGGCATCAGCCGTCTTGACGACACGCCTCTCTGGTAGCTCCTGGCGATCAACTAAAACTATAATAAAGTTTTTTAAGGATTTTAAAGCACATCCAGTTTTTACAGACTAATCCTCCTCAATCTATCTTCAAAGAAAGCGTTAAGGGGTCATGATCAAACGCCTTTTTATACTCTCCCTCAACATGATAATTCAAAAGGCTTCTGAGTTCTATGTAGAATGGCGCCCTTCGTTCTTGTGGAAAAATATCGAATGCTTCCACAGTCCATTTCTCTGTAGACTTCTTCGGCAAGATAAAGAAGTCGACTTTTGAAATCTTTTCCCTTCCCGGAGTTGCTTTATAAACTGGAACTGTGACATTGGTGCGATCGAAATTTTTGCAGTTCAAGTCCGCCCCAGCTATGACACAACATTTGCTAGACTCGTGTATTTTTGCAATGATCTGGCAAACACTGGAGGCCCTCGTTTTGCAAATTCCTAGGTCCCTCCTTCACCCTTAAGGATGTTGTGGTAAGATATGAAAATTATCTCACGCTCTGTGCGTTTGTGTCGTAGGTGAACAACACAAATACGCTCCCTTATCTGTTTTTTTTTCGCTAATGCACTTATCTTTTGATATGCAGTTTGATTCGCAGGGAACATCTCTTCCAGAATATTATCTATTATCGCATTCTGTGTGGATGTGGATACTTTCTCAAATGTGGTCTTTTTATAGAGTACCTGGGCTTGTTCCTCTTTTCCAGCTTGCTCTCGATCTGTCATAGTTATCAAGACTGCTGAATCGAGTGATGGTGCCTTTTTGGGGCTCTTGTAGTAGCAAAACGTCCGGGTCGATGTAGCTAACCACACTGTCTGTCATTCGTTGTTTGCAATCTGCAGTCCCTTGCCCGTTTATGTTCCAACTGAGCACGGTTACCGGTAAATGTATCTCTCTAATGCCAGAAGCAACTTCATCCAAGTCAGATTCGTATTTCTTGGCCATTATTTGTGGTCGAGAATGTTAAGAGCGGCTACGCGTAAATATCAACTAGACTTGGAAATAGTCAAAAAATGACCTAGCCTCAAACTCAGCCAGAATAAAACCCTATGGGCCCTAGTTACAAAATCGTTGGTTTAAGTACGATCGAGTGAATAATATTTTTTTAACGAATTTTTTTCTTCCCGAGGCCTAAAATGGGCAAAAATCATGCGAAATTAGAGTCATATTCAGTAACTCGTAAATTTTAAAATAAAGTTGGCCACTAAAATATAATGACACTTCATATTTTCACTATCTTTCCTCTACAATTTTAACGGATTAGTTCGCGATTTGGTGAACAAGAGATTTTTAAAGAAATTTTCAAAGTTGTTGACTCAAAATCGCTTAATCAACCGTCAAAATTTAGCACTTTTTCACGAGCTAAAAAAGCGGATTGGTACATGGCTTTGAACACCAAGGCTTGTTTAGTCTGAAAGAGCATTCTTTTTTCTTCAAATTAGCGAAATAAAATTTTTGGGTAAATGAAATCACGAGCGCTGACAAAGCCAAGCAAATGTAAATATTACACTAAAAACAGGCGAAAAAACGTGACCTCTGACCGAAGCACAACCAAATGCGAATTACGGTAGGCGCCAAACCTTTAATCATTCGGTAACTTCTTGAGACAATATTGGTCCGAAATGTGTATAGATTTTTTAAATAAAGCTTAGTTAAAGTATTAAGTGTCAAAAAGTCCACAAAGCGGTAAAAAATACAACAAAAGTCACGAGTAATCTGTTCCGTTTTCTGAATTTTACGCAGCGATTTATGCAATTTAACGAATGAACAATTTTTAATCCAACGATACCCACCTGAGACTGTGTTAGTTTAAGAGTCCATAGAACTTCTCAGACGATTCCTCGGAAAGACCTCCAGAGGGAAATGAAAGAAAAATTTGTACTTATAACTGTAACAATTTCACTTGCCGCAACGGCAATGAACGAAAACAACTGTCGAACTGCCACAGGCAAACCAGCTTTCAGTGGAGTCATGCAAAGCATGTCACGTCACGTAATTCTGCCCCGCGCATTTGGGAAGGAGGGAAGAAATTCTTCCATGCTGTGTGCTAAAACATATATGAAATAAAACAAGCTTTGGAATGTATCTTTTGCAACTAGTTAAAGAAAAGAATAACTTTTCCCCTGTTTTTGCTCGAGGGGCGCTGTACACTTCTTTTGTTTTATCTGCTGTTTATCATGATTGTGTTTCAAGTTCGGAACGTGCATCTATAGCTAGCAATTGGTGTGTTCGAATTTGTACCGAATGCTGTAGAAAGGATATCAAAGGGCACCAAAGCAGTGGCGGATCCAGGGGAGGGTCCAGGGGGTCCGGACCCCCATCAGACCCGATACTTGTTTGAGACTAAAATCCTTACAACGATAGTATTACATGTCACTGTTTAACTGGCTGAATTTTTTATTGAAACGCGTGTTGTAATTTTCTACTAAAGTAGATTCCAGGAATATTAAAAAATGTGATTGTAATTGGATACCCGCCAATGATCTGTTCGCCTCTGCTCGCAAAGCAGTATTTCCCGCGCCAATGGCGACTGGCTTTCACAGATTGAGAACACGTAGTCGTCTCTGTCTTCTCAGTGACTGGTGGGAGGGGGTGTGGGGGAAAAGTAATTTAACACAAAAAAGTTCAACAGTCCTTTCTGAACAGAAATTTGGACCTTCCCCCCCCCATGAAAAATTCCTGGATCTCCCCCTGCAAAGATGTTACTCTGAGTTTGGAGCCAATCAAGGCTTATGCTGGCGCGTGCAAGTAAATCAATTTTTCTCGAGTTATTTTAGAGGCTCACTTGTGGGACGAAAAACAGTATAATTTTATTTAGGTAATATCAAAATTGTGCGTGATCATGTGTATCCTGGAGGAACAAGAACCTTTCTAATCGGTTTCCTGTGGTTCGGTGGTTCCTTGCGTTGAAACATCCCGAGTAAGGGACCGGTCATTATTTATCACCTGGGGGAGTCGGAGGATTTTGGGGGGGATCACTTGATTTTTAGGAAAACAGAGGGGGGGATCAGTCGTAACTGAGAGCCCAAAAGGGGGGGATCACTGAAAAGTTTGGAAGGATTCAGAGGGGGGGCCAATCAAATCTGCTCGAACAATGCCAGTTTGAAAGCATACAACATAAATGTGCCCATTATGCTGGGAGATGATAGCATTTGCAATCTCAATTTGTTCTAACACAACTTTATTTAAAAAACGGAAGTCTGTCACACTGGCGAATGTGTGCACTTCAATTTATATCGAGAAATCTTTGTTTTAACGCTTTTATATTTTTCCTTTTATAACGTGCTCATGACTTAGCTAATATTCATGTTTAAACATGACAGGTGAATTCTAAATTGTGAACTATATAAACTGTTCAAAACCCGAAATACCCGGTGCGGCATATCTTAGTAAAATAGAGAGTTTTATTGAGGACCACTACGTCCGAGGAGAGCTCTTTTTAGAATTTTGTCGGGATGCCTGCAATAAGCAAAGCGATGCAAGCTCCACACTCTGTTCCTGGTGTACCAACAACAGATGGGTGGGACCAGTAACAGAAAGAATCCCTCAGCCTGTGCCAGACAAGCAAAATCCCGGGCACTTTATGGATGTGTACGGAACGCCGACAACAGGTCGTGCTCCAGACGATTATCAACCGAGGAAATGTCTGAAGGACTTGTACGAACAAAACGCCATCTCTGCGGGCAATCCAAATACCATCGCTGCTTTCTGTGCAACCTATAGTGTCGAGGAAAAGCATGTCATTGAATACCTACGCCATCTAAATGATATCAACATCAGGAAGGATATTAGAACAAGAGAGGCTAAGGAGGAAAAAAAGGTTAGAAGAGGAACTAACATACAAGGACTACCAGTGGGGCATACTTATTGAGAATGGCAAAGTTGAAAAGCTGAAGGTGAGACAGCTCGACCTGTACCTTAAGGAACATGGCCTGACCACTGTTGGTATAAAGCTGGACAAGATAAAGGCAATTCACTACCATTACTATCGACAGAGAAGTCCAGGCAACGGGAATGAGTTGTCCAGCAGTGAGGAAGAGAGTGAAGAATCAGATGCGGAGTTAGATGATGACGAGGATAGCGAAGATGATCTTGTCATTGCTGATCTCGATGAACAGTCAACTGTTCGTATGCCAGTTTTAACTTTTGTACCAGATGACCAAATAGCTGAAGTTACTGTACAAGCAAACACTGGATGAAAAAAAAAAGGAAAACAAAAAGAAAACAAACAAAAAAACGAACCAAAAAAAATTATAAAAATGTGAGCAAAGCTACAAAGGCTGATCTATTACACTATAGATGAAAATAAAAAAGGAGACAGGAACAGTGGCCGATCCTAGCCCTTCCAGATGGCCGAATTGTCGCTAAATATGACCTGCTGATAGGGACTTGGCGGACTGCTATTTACCACTCTAAAAAAAGTAACTTTGCAGTTTCAAGCACTGATTGCAGTTTCAAGCACTTTGCAGTTTTAAGCAAGATTGCTTGTATGTCAACTGAATTCAGATGTCTGGATCCAGACTAGAAAAAGACACGGATCAAGAGACACTTTTAAAAAAAGACTGCGCGATAACGGCTTTATTATGCTGTAAGTACATCATCGTTAGAAATACCACCTATATATGAACGTTTAAAACACTAAATATACACGTCGAAAGGTGAATATGGGTACAAAGACATGGGGGGGGGGGATCACGAAAGTTATATATAGTTATGAGGGGGGATTACTTCATTAAAATAACATTTAAAGGGGGGGATCGGCTAAATTTCGTCGTGTTTAGCCCAAAATCCTCCGACCCCCCAAAAGCCAACAACAAGGGAATGAGCTCTTCGGAAGCCAATGAACTAGTGGCCACATTCGGATCTCAAAACAAGATTTGGAGAAGTTGAAAGGAAAAAATCGAAGGAACTGATCGGCGAAAAGAGAAAAGAAAGCCAGTACAAACAAACGAAAACACATGATATCATTTTTTTCGATATTAGTCGGTTTGGAACTCAAACCTTTGTCGGGGGCTGATACTGTGTGGTCGTTACCAAAATTGAATTTAAAACTAAAGTACATAATTATAAACATAATCGGTGATTACAAAGGTAGTCTTATAAACCTGAACTGACGCAAGAAAGGAACCAAAAATAACGACCTGGCCCTGGTTGATCAAACGACCGATCATTTTTCCAACAGATACCGTGTGGAACGAAATTTTTGCGGGACTTTATTTTTGCGAATTGGCGGTTTTTTGTGTTTTGCGGGAACTAATTTTTGCGATTAGGACAGACTGGTTTTTCTTGCTGGGGATCAATTTCTGCGATTTCAGAAAGTACCCAGTACCCAGCATTGATAATATTGTCGTTTTTATTGAGTACGTGTAATAGAAATACATATTTTCAAACAATACTAAGTGTGCGTCAGTATTTTTCTGAAAAAAAGAGACCAGTTGTGATTGAACAGACACGATTTCTTGGTACTGTATTCTTGTGTAGTGAATTTAAGTTAGAGCATACAGTATTTCCTCTGGAGTAAGTTTTTGCGGGAAAAATTTGTGCGGTAATTTTTATTTGCGGGAACTTATTTTTGCAAAGTACTGACAGTCATGAAATCCTATCAATAAAATTCAGCCGTGAGTGAAATAGTGAAAATGACAAGAAGACAGAGGGGAAAAAATAATAACAGATCAGTCCACTGGGTTTAAAATTGTTTAGCCTGGCACTTTTGTGTAAGCGAACG